AAGAATGAACGAATGATAGAACAGAAGAATGGAAAGAACGAAGAAGAAGAAAGAATGAACGAATGATAGAACAGAATAATGGAAGAACGAAAGAAGAAGAAGAATGGATAAACGAATGATAGAACAGAAGAATGGAAGAACGAACAGAAGAAGAATGGACGAATGATAGAACAGAATAATTGAAGAACGAACAGAAGAAGAATGAACGAATGATAGAAAGAATGGAAGAATGGAAGAACGAATAGAAGAAGAATGAAGAAAAGAAGAAAATAGAATGATAAACAGAAGAAAAACAAACTAAGAAAATTGAAGTGAACGAAGAAGAAGGAGAAGAACGATGGACGAATGACAGAACAGAATGGAAAACGAAACAGAAGAAGAAACGAACAGAAGAATAAGAGTCAAGCAAAAGAACGAACAGAAGAAAAACAAACGAACAAACTGAAGAAGAAGAAGAAGAAAAAGAAGAAGGAAGGAAGGAAGGAAGGAAAGAAAGAAGGGAGGAAAGAACAGGGTGAAAAAGGAGGAGGACAAAGAAGGAGAAGAGAAGAAGAAGAAGGATGGAAGAGGGAGGGAAGAAGAATGAAGAAAAAGAAGAATAAAAATGGAAGAGAAAAAGAGGAGAAAAGGAAGGAGGAGGAGGAACGAACAGAAGAAAAGAATGAGGAGTGGAAGGAAGAAGGAAAGGAAGGAAGATGGAGAATGGAGAAGAAGAAGGAGGAGGAAAAAAGAAGAGAAGTAAAAAGAAAAAAATGGAAAGAAGAGGAGCAGGAAGGGGAGGAGAAGAAGTAAAAGAATAAAAAGACGGAACTGGGGAGAAGAAGAAGAAGAAGAAGAAGAAGAAGAAGAACGAACGAACGAACGAACAGAAGAAGGACGAGGAAATATTTCATTGGGAATGTCAAATGGATCTATTGTCGGAATACAAAATAGATAAAATCGTTCCAGACCCAGGCTTCTCCATTAAAAATCTCTACTTAAACGTAATATACGAAATAAAATTGTATCATTGAATTTACTGAGATGCAATGATTTCTAACAAGTCTGTAATATGGAATGGATATCATTGCAATTCCACGCTGAGCTACTGCCATGTTTGAATGACGCATCGATGTCATATTTTCTGGGCAACGTCACAAAACATGCGACGAAACAGACTCTTATGTTTCTGCCGTATCTCCTCAAAACCTATTCGATCATTGCTTATATTTTTTTATTTTGTCAGTAGTTCAAATAATTTCAGCTGTTGAAAATCGAAGAATTCTATGGAAACTCTATCTATGTTTTTTCTTCTTCACTCAACACATTTGGGTTTAAGATCAAAAGATGAATATGAGACAAGAGTTCAGAATTTAAGCATTTATTTCCTGGTATTTACAAGTGTTACATAAATACCCACAAAAAATGAGTATCCACTAAAAATAACGTTTAGTAAGTAAGTAAGTGATGCCATTACACAAAAATATCTTGAAATACTAAAGAGTAAATTTATTCGATATAATCGCCATTTGCTTCAACCACGGCATCCAGACGACTTCGAAAACTTCAGCAACTCTTCTGGGCGGTCTACTTCTTTAAATTGCCAAAATGCCGCAATAATCCTTTCCTTCAGTTCATCTATGGTGCTACAATGTCTTTCCTTGACCTACACACAATAACCACGGGGATTTACAGTCTGGGGAGTTAGGTGGACAGATGTAAAGGGGGGGGTCTCATAAATTGTCTGACAGCCATGACTGAATTTTCCTGCTTGGGTGTCACGGTGTAAAATCCAGTTGGCCCAGGGCATCACTACCACCTCAGGGCACTTGATTTAGGCCTCCGTGTTGAGTCTTTCGGATGTAGAAAAATCACGTGGTCGAGATAAACATTCAGTTGTGGAAATAATTCAACCTTGAGAAAGAGTGCTATTTATGGTGCCATGGAACATCTCATTGTGCTAAAGTGGGATAGTCCATTGCTTGGGCTTTGATTGGCTGCTGGTACCTGAGTGCAGGTATTTCTATATTCTTGATTCATCAGTTAGTTTGCAGGGTTTGTATTGAGTTACAACCTGCTTTATTTTTGTCTGCCAGATGGACGCTATTTGGGACCCTTACGCCGGTAAATGCTGTTTATTGTATTGTTATTCTACAGGGAAGAGATGAATCGGGGAATAATGTGACCATCACTAGTTGTCGTGACCATCACTAGTTGTCACACCAAACACCTGCATAATCAGCATTTGACTCATCTGGATCTTCTGCACTATTCTCAGATTAGCACGCAAACACTCTGAAAAGTTTGTACTGGCGCTTCCGGTGCGAATGCCAAGCAGTACATCATGCCGTTCCTGCATTTCTGGCGTAGTGATTTGTTTTATGGTGATCTTTTTCTCAAAAACCTTTTGCAGTCCACAGTAGCAAAAACAAACAACGTGGGCGAACGAAATTAAAAATATAAAAAGGTGATAATTTACCCATCCTATACCTATATATATATATATATATATATATATATATATATATATATATGAATTGGGGAAGAAATATGGTTTAGAATCCGACAAAATGATAGGATATTTTTATCGCCTCCATATTTCATTTTCTATTTGTTCCTTATCGTATCATATATATATATATATATATATATATATATGTATGTGTGTGTGTGTGTGTGTGTGTATATATATGAGGTGGTACACGATGTGGGTTAAAGGTGACCTCAGTATATGGAGACTATATGAAAATGATCTTTGAGTGAATTATGACGTTTTGTTTTACTACAAATAAATCATTTTTTATACGGAGGGAGATTGTGCCTAAAATAATAAATGAGGAAGAAAGAAGGGATATTGGGTAAAGTAAGACATGTTGGTTCAGGCAATGATAGATGAAGAACAAGGAGAAAAAGTCCATAGTACAGGCAGGTAAGGGAAGAATAGAATAGGTAAGAGCGAGGGTGAAGCAAGAAGAATAAGCCAAAGTTATAGAGCGAAATGAAAGAGATAAAATAGGTAAAAGAAGTAGATAAAGAATAGGCAAAACGTATATAGTATCGAAAAGGGAGAAATATAAAAGGTAAAAGAGGGTGAAAATGTGAAGAAGAAGAAGAAGAAGAAGCGATAAAAGAAGAAGAAGAAGAAGAAGAAGCGTAGATTGGGAAGGCTTAAAGAAAATAGGTACTAGAGGGATAGAGAGGGTGAAGAAGAAGATGCGTAGATTGGAAAGACAATGGATAATAGAGCGTTAGAGAGTGTGAAGAAGAAGAAGAAGAAGAAGAAGAAGAAGAAGAAGAAGAAGAAGAAGAAGAAGAAGAAGATAAAGCAGTAGTAGTAGTAGTAGTATAAGGAGAATCCGAAGCCTCAGAGGGAAGAAAAGTATATAAAATAGGTAAGGAAGGAGGTGACAGTGAGCAATATACGAAAAATATATAATATATAATTTCACCCGAAAGAGGCGATAATGCCATTAAGACGCAATGAAATAATGAGAAGACTTTTGGTGAGGACAAAAGACAATAAAATAAGAGGGCTCAAAAAGAGAGAAGATGGCGATAATGCCACTAAGATGCAAGGGGTTACTGAGAGTGAAAGAGAATGAGTAGAGTTTAGTGAGAAGAAAGGACAATAAAAGAACAGTTTTCAGGACGACAGGAGATGGCGATAATGTTACTAAGACGTACGTGTTTACTGGGAGGAAAAGAGAATTAGAAGACTGTACTGAGGAGAAAGGACAATAAAAGACCAGATTCAGGAAGACAGAAGATAGCGATAATGGCACTAATACACAAAGGGTTACTGGGAGTGAGGAGAAAGGAGATTAAAAGTACAGGTTTCAGGAAAGCAGAAGATGGCGATCATGCCACTAAGTGACAAGGTGTTACTGCAAGTGAAAAAGAATAAGAAAACTTTAGTACGGAGTATGTACAATAAATGCACAAGATTCAGGAAGTCAGAAGATGTTGACAATGAGACGTAAGGGGTTACTTGGTGTGAAAGTGTTTGAGAAGTCTTTAGTGAAGAGAAAGGATAATAAAAGGTACATGGTCACACGAAGACAGAGGGTGGTGGAAATGCCACTAAGACGCAGTCGATTATAGAAAATGAATAAGAAGACTTTAATGACGCGAGCGCGCATGAGTTGTGTGTGTGTGTGAGAGAGAGAGAGAGAGAGAGAGAGAAGGAGCATGAGAAAGAGAGAAAGGTGGAGATCAAATAAATATTGCAAAAAACAGTGACATAAAATGAATGCGCACTTATACATACATATATATATATATATACTGGTATATGCCTCATACATTGTTCAACTTAGCAGTTCTCACATAATGAAAATAACTGGTATGTTTTGATTTAAAACTTAAAATTAAAAAATTAATTAATTTCCTAATTAGTGTTTTGTGATTTTTATGAATTAGTGATTGTTGTATTGACAATGTTAACAATTAAAATCTATAGTTATTCAAAGAGCCAATTTCTGCAACGAAAGTGGTAACGACCTTAGAATTTAGATCACAGTTTGTTATTAAAATGAATAAGAAATGTTTAAAAGGTGGCATTTTTAACTGTCTACGAGAAGGGCAACCTGGAAGTAGTACTGGTGTAGGGATTAACATCCCATATAACAATATAACAAGAATGAAGTTCTTTTATCTGTTTAAATAAATAATATTAAAATACTTTTTTTTACCTTTTTGCATATGTTAAATAGACGTGATATAAAGTGTATAGTAAACTAAGAAACGTCAAGAGTTCGTTGTGTAATGTTTAGCTTACTTGTCTCGCTAAATCAATTACGAGTGAGCGGTGAGTTCGATTCTCACTGAGTGCATCACACATTTGACTTTGTGCCACATCTAAGCTACGCTTTGAAAATCATTTGTGAGGTGTTACCATTTACAGTTAACTCTACTTGTCGACTCTTGCGTCAGTGCGGAGAGGAAACCAGACGTGGCTATGCCGAAGAGCAGAGTCTCGTATTAGGTGTATACGGAGTTTACGAGCAATCTTTGCCCGAGCCTACGGGATCGGGACGACCCACCTAAAAAACCGGCCTTCTGCTACATCCAGCTTTGTGTGGGGCTCTCGGGTAACTACCGTGGTCGACTACTGATTACGGGTCGTAGAACAACGCAATTCAACATTAATTTTTGCCCCAATTGCATACAAAAAATCACACCAGAGATAACAACTTCGATATAAACAATATTTTTAATCTTTTTACAGTGTAACCCGGATATATGAGACCCGTATATAAGAAAAACCCGGATATAAGAGAGATTTTCCCTGGTCCCAAATTAGAGCCTGTGTTAATGTATATAAAATAGACCAAACCCGGATATAAGAGAAACCCGGATATAAGAGACTTCTTCTCCGGTCCCGACAACTCTCTTATATCCGGGTTACAATGTATATTCAATTTAATTTAATACATTCTTATGTCTTTTTTTCCGTAATTAACTTCAATTATAAAAATTAAAAAAAAACACAATTTCGTATTGGTTTTATTATTATTCAGAAAAATTAAATCCATGAAGAGAATTTTATTCTACTTATTTAAGGAATTTCCTAATGATTTTAAAAATAAAAGTAATTCAAGTGCCTTATTTTTTTTCAAACTGTTCAAAAATTTTCTTTTAAACATTTTTGGGGGGAATTTTCGCAACTGTTCAAAATGATTTTTTGTAGGAATTTTCTAAGCGATATATATTTATGCTTTGAAAATATTGATAGTTCTCATAAAGATATGTCCCCAGGGAATGTAAATCTTTTGCTTTTTTATATTCGAGGAAATGTGTCTGGATTAAATCTAATGTCTCCCGTCTGTACACAAAGATCTTAACAAATGGCTTCTTCACACGAATTCATCGAGGGAAAAAAAAAGAAAGAAAAACACATAAATCCGATTCGTAAAATATTCTAATTTAGATCATCATCATCATCATCATCGTCGTCGTCGTTGTCGTCGTCGTCGTCGTCTTTGCAGGTGACCCTGAAATCGTAGGTCAATCCACCAATTGAAACCATTACAGCTAAAATACGCCATACCATGTAAATCATAGCGAATCATCCTCATTCATCTGATATTCCATTGTCAAGAAGGAAGTTCACTTCGTTCACAGGATGGCTGCAACATTGCAGAACACTATCTGCAAAGTATATTACACCAAACATCTAAAATCTTAATATCTTCAAGTCTAGGATCAACAGGTCTCTATCCAACATATCATCCTAATCTAATTACTTATTTTCTTCATCTGTTTATATCTCTGAAATGAGGTATTACGATACATGCATTATTTACATTATTCGAACTGTTATGTTCATCTTCATTGCCTTATTCACAATGTTTCAGCCTCTATATCTCTGAAATGAGGTATTATGAGGCATTACATTATTCGAACTGTTATATTCATCTTCATTGCAATATTCACAATGTTCAGCCTCTATATCTCTGGAATGAGGTATTATGATATTTGCATTATTTACATTATTCGGTTTCTTATCCTCATCTTCATTGCCATATTCACAACGTTTAGGCCTCTATATCTCTGAGATGAAATATTATGAGTACTTGCATTATTCACATTATTTGGACAGATATCCTCATCTTCATTGCCATATTCCCAACCCTTCGACCTCCATATCTCTGAGATGAGGTATTAATATTATTTGCATTGTTTACATTATTCGGATTGTTATCCTCATCTTCTTTGCCATATTAAATCTCATATTTATATTACGGCCTCTGTATGTCTGAGATGAGCTATGATGTTTCGGCCGCTGTACGCTCCGGCCTTCTTCAGTTGATTTTAATTTAGACCAAACCCATTATTTCGTTGACCTGCATAGAGTGTTCTAGTTCTACGTACCATGCATCTTCCGAATGTCTCAGTTATTTCCTTTCAACTCAACGCTACATTTTTTTTGTGAGTTCAATATCAGGCTACAGCCGTGTTGAACCAGAAATCTGCGTCGAGAAGCGTATCAATGCTTCAAAAATCTTGCGGTTCTTCTGTCGTCGTCACGCGGTTTTTCTCCCAGTATGGCAGTGAGTCTAGATGGCCTTCTCAAAGATGAAAAAGAGAATTGTAGCCACCAAAATGAGGTTCTACAGAAGGATACTGATGATAGCTTTGACCGAATATGTGAGCAAGGACGAAGTTTCAGAGAAAATGTAAACAAAAAGATAACTAATACTTAACATAAGGAAGAGACAGTTGAGGTTTCGGGCGCATATAATGAGGAAAGACGGCTTGGAAAATCTGGTAGAAGGCAAGAGGGATAAAGGAAAACAACACACGACATACTTAGTGAACTTGAGTAAAATTATGGCGGAACAGGGCTTAGGTCAATTCACAGAAAGCCAAAGTTTATTACGAGCTATAAATGTCAAGAATTTGTGGAATGACATGATCGGCTGCGTCCTGAGGGTTACGGCTCATAAACAAGAATTCACAACGTAAGTCAATCCATCACTATCAGAATTTTACGCCAACGAGGTATTTTAACCAATCACTGTCCATCCTGGCCCAGCCTCTCCATTCTATAAATCTAGACGGCAAACAGGATTTTAAAAAAACATGTAGAAGAGATGATTCAATCAAAGGTTATTCGTGGGCAAGGACCGCCTTCAAGTTGGAGGACATTAAAAGTGGTCTGACGAGTTATCCGCCGCCAAGTCTACATGCTCAAGACAGGTCCCGCAAGATTTAATGTCACTCTGAATGCCAACTCAAATATAGGGAGAGTAGTGGTCCGATGGTCAGATTTGCGGTGAGCCTACGACCTCATACGATCATGCGATTGATGTATAACGATTATATAAATTAGTTTGTCGACAACGTTAGCTGAATTGGTTGCTATATAAGTAGAGAGTGAACACACTCACCAATAAAACATTTTATTTATATTTATTTTAGCTTTGTCACTGAGCGTATCTGAGTGACAATCACGCAAAATTAGACCTAACGTATAAGTATGTAAGAAACAGACATAAATTCGAAAGATATTTCATTCATTGAAATTTTTCGACTCTTGCTGAACGCGTGAATCTGTAGATGCGAGGATAATTTCGAAGTCAAGTTAATCATATAAATAAAGCAAAAAATAGGGCAAGATATGTTTTTTAGACTGTTAATTATATAACTTGCAAATTGTTCTTTATCGGTCATAATTACCTTTAGTTAATTGCTCATCGTTACACACATTTTCTTCTTGACAAAACTTTCCATATACAAGCATATATATATATATATATATATATATATATATATATATATATATATATATATATATATATATATATATATATAAGGGGTCCTCCTTTTTACACAAATGGACTCACCCAGTATATACATATACTACGACTACGTGAAGACCCGGCAGTAAGAGAGAGCAGGACCAAAGAGTCAAGTCGAGTCCAGAGTAATAGAGTAAAAGGTTGTAGGTAACCGGAAGAGTGAGGGTGAGGTAACAGCGTTGTAGGCGTCACAGTGAGCGAGCACGTAGACTCAGTAAGAAATCATACAGAGATACTTCAATACCAAAGACTGGTATATATATATATATTGCTACTAACCCGTATTCCTGGAACTACTAACCTGCTTTACCAGTTTGTATTATTACGTTAATACGTTATTTTCATATATTCATTCCTGGCGTTTGTTATTTATTGGTACCGGATTTCCTTTGGATTCCACAACAATTATATATATATATATATATATATATATATATATATATATATATATATTTTTGTGTATGTGTGTGAAAAGGAGATAAAATATAATATAATTCATAAATTATAACATTATCAATACAACGTGACATGTTGTATTGATAATGTTATAATTTATGAATATGTCCTGAAGATGGTTTATTAGACCGAAACGTCCGACGTTGACATATTAACATTAAAACAGCATAATTGTATATAAGGATTTTTGTTTGTTTTTTCCGTATATATTTTTCTTCATATATATATATATATATATATATATATATATATATATTTGGTTGGATTGATGTGAGTTTATGAACCTGAGTTTCAAGCTTTTACGATCGTCAGACAAACTTATTAACTTTTTTAAAAATTTGGATTTATGTAGATTGCATGTATTGGTGTTACTCATGCTAACGCAAACATAGATGCATGTCCGTACACCCGTTGAGGTACGCAGATGCACA